GGGCAGGCGGGAATCGAACTCATGTGGAAGTGGCTTTAGTTTCTTAGTGCAGTGCTTTAACCCGCTGCGCCACCAGGGAGGGCCCAGAAATTATTTTTAATGAATATACTGAGCTGTGCCATAATTCCTTTTTTAAAACCTGTACTTTTTAGTTTTTATTTTGCTTTCACATCTAGATAATAGTCTGGCTGTGTAAGTTGAGTACTTAAATATCTTAAAATTTTAGCCTGATAAAGTTTGTTTCCTTTCCATTACTTCCTTTTCCATTGAATCTATTCTTTTATATATATATAAGTATATATTCTTTAATCTCATCCTGTCTAAGGGCTAGAGTAAGGATTTTCATAGTGCTTTACCTCTGAGAAATACATTTACATCTTTTCCTTTCTCAGTTTTCGGGCTGTTTCTACTTTAGTTATCTCTATATTGCCTAGTCTTTGTGTTTTTCCTACTGCCTTTCTGGACAGCTTTTGACCTCATGGACTTTTTCTTCATTTGAACTTGTTAATGTTGTTTGTTGGTTAATTGTTTTAATTACTATATTTTTAATATTTCCTATCTTGTTTTAGATTTCTTGGTCTTTTGTCATTGTTAAATATCTTCTTTCTTCTTTAACTGTATTTACATCTTGTTTAAATTTTTCATCCAGTAATTCAGTAATGCAGGTTTAGGTGATAAATGTTTTTTAATTCTTTTCCTAGAAATTGTACTCTAAAGGTACAATGGTGATAATCAATTAATAAAAGTTATTGGGAGGGCTGAAGATCACACTCTGGTTTGTTACTGTCCTGTGAAGTTTAAGGGAAATGAGATGGATGGTAATCAACCTCATGGGGAGGGACGGGTCTTGCTACATCAAAACTGGCTGACAATTCCAGGCAACATTTGTTCACTGCTTTGCATTCTTTGGGTTGCAGTGCATTGTACTCAAAAGTTATATATGTATGCATGCACCAATGTACCAATTGCCTAAAATAATTTCTTTCTTGGATCTAAGTTTCCAAGGTTGATTTGTTTTGAGATGTGAACTGAGGGGGAGGCCAGCAATTTATGCTGTTTATCACCACATAATACATTACACTTCTAAAAGTTTTTAGCTAAAATTGTGGTTAAGAGCATTATTTGATTATGTAACAATCTGTCTAGCAGGAAATTCTAACTTGGGTTCTGAATCTGTTGCAGAGTTCCTGAAGTTAGGTCAGTTTTGAGTGTTAATACTTTGGGGGATGTAGAGGAGTTTATAACTTGATCATTCTCTATTGAGGTCATAACTTAGGTGTGTGCAACTTCTTAAAATCTATGTTCCTTAGTGAATTGTTTGAAAAGTGAATGATATTTCAGTAAAGCTATTATTTTAGAAAATCTGTATCCCCCTTCATAAAGCAATTGTTATTTAATTTTAAATTCCAGATAAAACGCAGACACTAAAATAGAAAACAGTGAGGTATAGTATATCATACTTTTCTCCTATAAATATGTGCATATTTTTAATTAGGTGGTTGTTGTTACTCTGTTAGGATGGTCATTCCATGACTTTTAGCTTAAGGCAGACCAAATTTTACAGCTGAAATGCCAGCACTGACAACAACAATGAGCTCAAGAATCAGGGTTGATAATCTTAATTTACATTTTTTTGCTGTATCTGACTTTCACTTTTGAAATGAAAACTTTTAGAAAGTTTCATGTATTTATTTAATTATTTTGTATAGACCCTTTGCAACAGGAAATATGCTCAGTAACTTATGCTTCAGATTCAGTATTGATTAAAGAGATATGAGCTTTTTTATGGTGTTCTTATATAACTGATGCCTTTTAACTTTTCAGCTTGCCTAGGGTAGTTAAAAGACGAGTGAATGCTCTCAAAAATCTTCAAGTTAAATGTGCACAGATAGAGGCCAAATTCTATGAGGAAGTTCATGATCTTGAAAGAAAGTATGCGGTTCTTTATCAGCCTCTATTTGATAAGGTAATGCTTTATTCTACTTTTTCATTTATCCCAAATTCAGGAAGATAATAAAGCTCTGTAAATACAAACTTGTAGGTGGCAAATGGTAATTAGCAATAATAGCAATACAAGATGTGCTGTAATTATCCTACATTATAAGTATACCTTAATATGAAACCAGCCAATTTTTTTGCTTGGATACCAGTGTTTTCATACAATCTCTTTGAAATCATTTTAGCGATTTGAGATCATAAATGCAATTTATGAACCTACGGAAGAAGAATGTGAATGGAAACCAGATGAGGAAGATGAAATTTCGGTTTGTACTGACTTTATTTTCAGCATGTTTTTATATTTTGGAAATAAGTTATTGTAAGATGTGTAGTAGAATGCATGTTTTCCCTATAGCTTATATCCCTAATGGTTCTCTCTTTGGATAGGTATGGTAATAGCAGTGTTTAAAGAAGTCAGGTTTCATAGAGGTAATGGCAGTGTTTACAAAACTTGGCTAACAAAACTTGTATGGAAATTTGTAATTGGTGGGTTGATGACTTCTGTACTTTTGTCACTGCATGCAATTTTATTAAATGATCTAAATAGTAAATGTTCTTTATCCAAGGAGGAGATGAAAGAAAAGGCCAAGATTGAAGATGAGAAAAAAGATGAAGAGAAAGAAGACCCCAAGGGAATTCCTGAATTTTGGTTGACTGTTTTTAAGAATGTTGACTTGCTCAGTGATATGGTTCAGGTAATTTTATTTATAAAAACAGCAGTTCAAAACTTGAATGAATGTGATGACAACTTTTCTTCATTATTGACCTTTGTAGAATTACTGCTTTCTCTTGAAATAGTTGTTACCTGTAGAAGAAAACTGCAGTTTTTTTCATTGCAATCAAGTAATAGAGTTTATTTTTTTAAATTTGGTAATGAAATGGTTCCATTGCTTGTAGTCCTTGTTTTCTGTCTTTAAATATTTAATATATTTAATATATATTTAATATAGAAGTAGGATGGGGGGTAGGCTTGACTATTGGCAGGTATCTTATCCCAAAAGACCTTTTCAGTTGAAGAAACAAGCATTTTAAAAGAATGCTATAAAGTGGCCCTCCCTGGTGGCGCAGCGGGTTAAAGCACTGCACTGAGAAGCTAAAGCCACTTCCGCATGAGTTCAATCACCTCCTGCTCCGGAGGTGACCACATGGCGAGGCAGACTTCTCCTGACCCGCCCGCTGCTCCTCCAGCAGTGTACTTCGTTGATCTGCCTGTTCTGCACCCCGCTCTGTCTGGTGAATCCTCTCACCCTCCGCAACTCTGGACTGTACCCCAGTTCTGTATGAATAAATAAATAAATCTTAAAAAAAAAAAAAAGAATGCTATAAAGATCTCAAACTTTTGTAATTGTCACTTTCTATAGGAAACCAACACAGATGGTATGCCCTCTGGGATATTTTGCCCCTCGTAATTAGAAGAGTATCACAAAACTCTCCCATCTGCTTGGTAGTCCTATTGTGATTTTTGGAAATCACTGTCAAAATTATCTCAAAACAATGACTGCTTCAACCAGAAGGAAAAGAACAAGAAGCATCAGGAAAAGGCAATAATAATTGGCAAACATTTTTTAAAACAAACACCTTACTAAAACTTGGTGTTCTACCTTTTAGCCCATTCAGTCTGTATAATGATACAGTTCTCTGGTCATTTTTCTCCTACCAGTGCATTAGCTTTAGTATAGTATAAGCCGTAACTCTAGTTAAGTTTTAAGGCTCACATTTATTATATAAAACTGAACTCAGAATGTCTTGACTACGTATTGTCCTTAACAGAACATTAACTCTTAAATGCCATATTTGATAACTTATTTTAATACACATTTTTTAATTTGAAGGAACATGATGAACCTATTCTGAAGCATTTGAAAGATATTAAAGTGAAGTTCTCAGATGCTGGCCAGCCAATGGTAAAAGAACTTTGAAATATTTCAGTTTTGTAACATTGGATATTTACAAGTAGATAGATGGAACTTTTTAGAGGGAGTGGCATTGAAGGATTAGAGAAAGGGATGAGAAGAAATTAACACTGATACTTGGTACTGTTAATTTTTATTTGAATGTAAATGTGGGTGCTGATTGTGAATGCATAATCTGTTAACTTTGCTGTGAACGTAAACTATTTTAGAAATATATATGGTCAGGTCATTTCTTGATCCCAGTTTGAAATGGATATTTTAGTATCAATAACGAGGAAACATGAATAAGAAAACCCTAAATCTATATTAAAAGGCATGTGTCTCAGAAGAACACAAAACATGTTAGAAAGTGCCTAGTCAACCATGATGAAAGATAAACCAACAGCTTCTCCCCCCAAACTAATGGCATTCCATGATGAATGGACATGCATTTTTTGATTGTAGACTATAGATTCTTAGTCCTAAGGATGGGCTTTTTTCTCTGTCCATCTCAGGTTCTAGTCTAAGATTTAATATCCTCTTAGGGGGCCTCCCTGTTGGCACAGTGGTTAAAGTCTCAGCACTATCAAAATATTGCCAGCCACTGTGATGTGAATTCATGTTGCAGCAGACCTCTCCTGTCAAGCCCACTTCTTCCCTCCTCAGTGTATTTCAGTAGATATACCTGTTCCTTCTCCCCACTGTGGTTGGTAAATCCTCACCTCTGATTTATACCCCAGTTCTTCTATGCATAAATAAATCTTTTTTTAAAAAAATAAAGATCCTTTTAGGATAGAGGGAGAAGGAGATGGTTGTTGGGTCTTTTCAGTTTCTTTAGGTGTGTCTGAGCTGTTTCTTAAATATGTCACTGATGTAAGTAAGTTACTAAGTTAAAGTTACATTGAGTTTATTTTTAAACCTTGTTTTGTTTGTAAAACAATATGGAATTTATGTAATCTTTCCCAGAGCAGGAAAAACATCACTTAGAATTTTGTTTATAAAAAATCAGATAAAGCTTTATTTACTAAAGCATTGAACTTGATGGTGTGGTAATTAAATTTTTATGATTTTTTTTAAAACAGAGTTTTGTATTAGAATTTCACTTTGAACCCAACGAATATTTCACAAATGAAGTATTGACAAAAACATACCGGATGAGGTCAGAACCAGATGATTCTGACCCCTTTTCTTTTGATGGGCCAGAAATTATGGGTTGTACAGGGTAAGCTTTATTTTACTACTTGATGGGTGTTTATACCTTTGTTTTGTGATACTTGGCATTTCCTAATGGATAAGCTTGTAACATACATAGATTATCTTCAAGCTTTCCATAAAATGTTGTTTCAGAAAAACTCATCCATCAAGTATTCCAACTCTTTCTCCAATGGATAACACATTTGTTATATTTTGAGTTTGTGCTAATTATAGACATTTGTCAAGGGGGGGGGACTAGAAATATTAGTGCACACTTTATAGTCCTATAAAAAGCAATTAACCAACTTCCCTCTAAAATTTGAAATATAAATAGAACATTTCTTGTAAAAGATCTTAGCTCTCATAGTAATTGAAACTAATGTGTTGTGATTAAAAAATTTTTCCTACTTTTGTTTTGGAAGGTGTCAGATAGATTGGAAAAAGGGGAAGAATGTTACATTGAAAACCATTAAGAAGAAACAGAAACACAAGGGTCGTGGGACAGTTCGTACAGTGACCAAAACAGTTTCCAATGACTCTTTCTTTAATTTTTTTGCCCCTCCTGAAGGTAAGTAGTATTTTATTTGGGTGTGGATGGTTGCATGATTATAGTTTTTGTTTAGTTTCTTATTCATTTGAATTTTTTTTTCTCAATTTTGCAGTTCCTGAGAGTGGAGATCTGGTACGTTGAATTTTTCCTTACTTGTTAAATTCGTTTCATTATGTATAAAAGCATTGGGAATAGGGAAGTGAAATAATTTGCTGTAGCATTTTGTTCTGAGATTGCAATGCATGGGGAACTGCAACTGAAAAATCCCATTCAAAATGTTCATTGAGACTTTCATATGTGTGTGTGTGTGTGTGTGTGTGTGTGTGTGTGTGTGTGTGTGTGTGTGTGTGTGTGTGTTTGCATCATTCTTCATTTTTATACAATGTATGCCTTCTCTTAGATGTAATACCCATAAAATTCTCACTACCAATTCACATGTGTCCTATCACCATAGTCCCTTTTTCTCCTCCCACCCATTTTAATCCTTAACCCTCTTCCTCCCCTGCAGAATATGTCTGCTTTGTAGTTTGATTTTTAATTTGATTTACTGTAATTGCCGCCCCCCCCATCCCTTGTTTCTTCTGTTTCTCCTTAAGTGAAACCATCTGATTTTTCTTTTGTTTTCTGGCTTATTTCACTGAGCATACTTCTTTCAGCTCCATCCATGTAAATGGCATGAATTTACCTTTTTTGATTGCTGAGTAATAGCCCATTGTTTATAGATACCACCTTCTTGATCCAGTCATTTATTTTTTGGTGTTGGGGTTGTTTCCATGCTTACCTATTGTAAATAGTGCTGCACTAAACATAGGGTGCAGGTCTCCTTTAGAATTAATGTTTTTGTGTCCTTTGGGTTGGTTCCTAGGAGTGGAATTGCTGGATTGTATGGAAGCTCCATTTTTAGTAGTGTGAGGAACCTTTGTACAGCTTTCCATCATGGTTGGACCAGTTTGAACCCCAGCAGCAGTATAGTAGAGATCCATGTTCTCCACATCCTCACCAGCATTTGTTGTTTCTAGTTTTTTTTTTTTTTTTTTTTTTAAGATTTATTTATGCATACTGAACTGGGGTGTAGGCCAAAGGTGCAGGGGTGGTGAGAGGATTCACCAGAGACAGAGTGGGGAGCAGAATAGGCTGACTGATGAAGTACACTGCTGAGGGGAGCAGCAGGTGGGTCAGGAGAAGTATGCCATACCATGTGGGTCACCTCCGGGGCAGGGATTAAACTTATGCTCGAGTGGCTTTAGCTTCTTAGTGCTGTGCTTTAACCTGCTGCATCACCAGGGAGGGCCCTGTTTCTAGTTTTTTTTATTATGTGCCATTCTCACTGGTGTAAGGTGTTTTCTTATTGTGGTTTTGGTTTGTATCAAATCTCTGTGTGCAAGAGATTTTATTTTCATATCAAGAGATCATGTGCCTGTTGGCCATTTACATTTCCTCTGAAGCGTTTGTTTAGTTCTGCCCATTTTTGGCCTGGGTTTGTTTTGTTGAGTTTTGTCTGTGCTTTGTGGTCAGTTGTGTATTGGTAGTATTGTGTGCAAAATTTTTCTCCCAGTCAGTGGTGTCTCTTTGTTTTGATTAATATCTCTTTTGCTGTACATAAGCTCTTTAATTTGATGTAGTCCTAGCTGTCCATCTTTTTCTTCACTATCTTTGCCTTAGGTGATTAGTCTTTAAAGTTGTTTCTGAGATGTATGTCATGTAGTGCTTAGCATATATTTTCTTTATATTTTATGGCTTCAGGTCTTAACGTCTAATTCTTTAATCCATTTTGAATTTGTTTTTGTGACTGGTGTAAGGTAGTCTAGCTTCATTTTTGGCACGTATCAGTCCAATTTTAAAATTTATTTATTTCTGCATATAAGAACTGGGGTACCGGCCAGAAGTGCAGGGGGTGAGAGACTTCAGAGAGAGTAAGGAGCAGAACAGTCAGATGTACTGAAAATCATTGCTTAGTGGGGAGCAGTGGGTGGGTCAGGTGAGGTCTGCCATGCAATTTGGGTTACCTCCCTAGTCAGGGATCTAACTCCTGCAGTGGCTGTGGATAGCTTCATAGTGCTGTGCTTTAACCTGTTGCACCACCAGGAACGGCCTATTTCTGGGTTTTCTAATCTATTACAGTGGTCTGTATGTCTGTTTTTGTTCCAGTACCATGTTACTTTAATTATTATGCTGTGTAGTGTAGTTTAAAGTTTGGGAGTGTGATAACCTCCATTCCCTTTTTTAGTCAGGAGTGCTCTGGATGTTCAAAGTTTTTTGTGGCCCCATATGAATTTCATCAGTATTTGTTCTATTTACAAATAGAACAAATTTCTATTTCTTTGAAGAATGCCATTAAAAATTTTATTGGAATAGTGTTGAATCTGTAAATCAGTTTTGGTAGGATGGCCATTTTAATGTTAATTTTCTTAACCCATGAGCAACGGATGCCTTTCTATTTCTTTTAAACTTTTATAATTTTATAATTTTCTTTACAGGTCCTTCACCTCTTTTGTTAGGTTTATTCCCCAATAATTGGTCTTTTTTGTTTCAGTTATAAAAGGGATGGTTTTCTTGATTTATTTTATACAGGAAGGCTACTGATTTTTGTGTTTTATATCCTGCTACTTTACTAAACTGGTTGATTATTTTGATTAGTTTTTGTTCTGAGGCATTTTTGTAGTTCTCTGTGTATATTATCATATCAGCTGCAAATAGTGATACTTTACTACTACTTTCCCTTTTTTCTTGTCTTACTGCTCTTGCTACGACTTTCCAGTATTACACTGAAAAGCACTGGTAGGAGTGGGCATCCTTTTCTTGTTCCAGACCTTACGGGAAAGGCTTTTAGTTTTTCACCATTGAGAATGACATTGGCTGTGGGTTTGTCATATATGCTCTTTATATATATTCTGAGAATTTCTAGGTTCTTTATCATAAATGGATGATGAACTTTGTTGACTGCTTTTTTTGAGAATCTAGTGATAGAATCATGTTTTTCTTTCTGTTGATATGTTGGATTATGCTAATTGGTTTTCACATGTTGAACCATCCTGTGTCCCTGGAATAAATCCTATTTGGTTGTGGTAATTTTTAGAAATTTTTATTTATTTATGCATACAGAACTGGGGTATAAGCCAGAGGTTCTGGGGTAGTGAGAAGATTCACCAGAGGCTGGGTGGGAAGCAAAACAAGCAGATCAATGAAGTACACTGCTGAGGGGAGCAGCGGGCAGGTCAGGAGAGGTCTTTCACACCATGTGGTCACCTCTGGGGTGGGGATAGAACACATACTGAAGTGGGTGCTGCTCACTTGAGCAGTGCTGTGTCCTAATCCATTGCACCACCTGGTGGGCCTTTTTTTTTTTTTTTTTTTTAATTAATTTGACAGTATCCCTCCTCAGCTGTTTGAAAGAGTTTGTGTAGGAGAGGCACTAGTTTACTTCTGAATATTTGGCAAAATTAATTTGTAAAGTCTGGTCCTGGGCTTTTGTTTTTGGTAGGACTTTGCTGCTTGTAATTGGTCTGGTTAGGGGTTCTTTTTCTTTAGCTTTGGATGATTGTAAAGTTTATCCATCTCTTCTAGATTGTTGAGCTTGTATCTAATGATCTTCCTGTAGTAGTGTAGGTTTCAATCTCATGAAGTAGGAGGATTCCTCGCTTTCTTTTCATGGTCTATTTTCAGTTTGATGACCTTTATGGTCAGAGAAGATAGTTGGTATGATTTTGATCTTGGTGTATCTGTTGTGTTTGTCTTGTGTCTCAGTATGTGATCAGTTTTGGAGAATGATCCATGCACATTTGAGAAAAATGTGTGCTCATTATTTTTTGGAGTACATATCTTATGTAGATGTCTGTTAAACCCATGAGGTCTAGGTCCTTGATTAGAGCTCTCAGGAGAGTGGTGTGTTGAAGTTGTCTATGTATATATTTTCTCTAATGTCTGTTTTCAGAGATGCTAACAATGGTCGGACATATTTTGGTGCTTATATGTTGATGAGTGTTAAGTTTTCCTAATGTCCTTTAATCATAATGTAGTGACCATCTGTGTCTCTTTTTACCTTTTTTAGTTTGAAGTCTGTTGTACTTAATATGAGTAGTGCTGTTTCTGCTTTCTTTTTGGTCCATTTGCTTGTAGGATTGTTTTCCATCCTTTCACTTTCAACTTAACGTTTATCTTTTGTAGTTAAATGTGTTTCCTGTAGGCCACAAAAGGTTGGATTCTGTTTTTTTATCCAGCCTGTTCCTCTGTGTCTTTATTGATGCATTTAGGCCATTTATACGTAGAGCTGATACTGATACTAGCATCCATATTTGCCATTTAGTTTTCCTTTTCGTGATTCTGTTCCTTACCTTGTTCTAGTCTTCCTATTTATTCCTCTTTTGGTTTTAGTTTTAGTCCTCTTTGTAATTTTTTTTGTAGTTGGGCTTTGTAGTAATGAACTTTTGGAGATTTTGTTGGTCTGAGAAGATTTTTATTTTTTCATAATAAAGGAATGCTTTGCAGGGTAGAGTATTCTTGGTTGGAATTTGTTGACTTGCAGCTTGTTGAATATGTCTCTCCATTCTCTTGTGTTTCTTTGGAGAAGTCTGATGTCAGCCTAATAGGTTTTCCTTTGTAGATTATCTGTTTCTTCCCCTTTGTCAGTTTCATTATTTTATTCCTTGCTGGAAAGAAGGAAGGGCACAAAAGACAACCAATTAGCCAGTAAGCACACAAATAGGTTGGAGAAAATGCTTCTCAGACCTCTTATGGCTCCCAGTGAGCCAGTCATTGCCATTTTAGCCTAGTCTGTTGGGGAGCGCCTTATGACTGGGTAGAAGTCTTCCCAGAGTCTTCTGTCTTTGTGGTGTATTGAGGGTTGGTGGAGGGGGGATATGGAAAGTGTTCTGTGAGGCCAGGCATTAACTGTAGTGCCCAACAGTCAGTGAATTTCCACTGCAGCTGTGGGTTTGGGGGCATTTGGTGCCCTTTATGGCCCCCTGAGGTAGTTGGGCAAGTCTGGGGATGCCTGAGGTGTCCTTCCACTGGGGGGCCTGTATCTAGAGGCCCTGACTAGGATGGGCACTGCAAGGCCCTGGTGTTTCTTCTCTGGTAGTTTTAAGTTTGTTATTCCTGGAATAACCTCAGCTAAGCCTCTTGATTTCAAGCTGTAGGTGGCTGGTGATTTTTGTTCTGATCACTTGGTGGCGCCAGAGATGTCTCCTAGTATCTTTGAGGACTGTACTTATTTTTGCATGTCTGGGAGGATGGAGAAGGGAAAGCCACAATGAAGGGGGCTCAACAGCCAGACTCTGCCATGCCCCAGCCCTGCTGCCCCTGCTTGCCCACCTGTCACCTAAAAACTTTCTTTTGAGATTTATAAATACTGCTGTGTGGGACTCATATTTTCAAGACTATAGTACTTAACTAGACTCCTACTCACATTCTGGTTAGAACTCCCCTTTTGCTATTACAGTGGAAATAGGGTTTCATACTGTGGTCAGGTATGGGACCATGTAGCCATAAACTATGGAATGTGCTTTGTGTAGAGCCTGGAAAGAGGACCAGCCTCTAAGAATCTGTACAGGGGTAGACTAGTTCTGTCTTGAATATGTTTAGGTTTGCCAATTTGCCAGATTTTTTTTTTGTAGTTTAACTGACGTGATTTAACTATTTTTACATGTGCAGAATTAGAATTTATGTTTATTGGAATAATTTGAGCTAAGTGAGGCTTAGACCAGATCTGCCAAAGGCACGTATATCTGCTTACAAACAGTAATTACTGGTGTGATTCAAAATAGTTTTTATAGGATAAAGATAGGAACAATAAACTCTGTTTATAGTGTTTAGTCATTGTTTAGTATCATAAAACTAAAATAGGATTATTTTAATTTGAATAATATTGGTACCATTTCTATACTTTGCCACTAAATAGAAATTCTAGGTTGGCTTAATCTATAACAAGTGGGACTCCTCATTTGCTATTTTATAGCTGCCTTGGATATTGTTATTTAGAAGTAATAATCCTCTGTGATCTTTTATGTGCCGTATAGTAAATATTTGTTGCCAGAGTTTGAGATACAGTTTCACTATTTAATCCTATTTGGTGTTTTCTTTCTTAATTAATTAATTTTAAAAGAAAAAGTGCAGTTGTAGCCCCTATTTGGTGATTTCTTTCTTTTTTTAATTAATTACTTTAAAAGAAAAAATGCAGTTTTAGCAAAGTTGCTTTGATATTTTATTTGTAAACCAGGGAGAAAACTAAGTCATAAATCCGTTTTAATTTTTATTTCTCACAATTTCTGAAGGTGTACACTGGTCTACTGGTCTGCTAATTTAGCTTCATTTTATTAAAAATCTTGTAATGCTGGGGCATATGTAGATAACTATTTGATCACACATGTAAGCTAAGTGACAGAAAATGAAAAGTGAAGTTTCTCCATATAATTTAAACTGGACTCTTGCATATGCAACTTAACAAAATCAATCTTGTGCTTTTGTTTATTTAAAACAACAATATAAACAGGATGATGATGCTGAAGCTATCCTTGCTGCAGACTTTGAAATTGGCCACTTTTTACGTGAACGTATAATCCCAAGATCAGTGTTATACTTTACTGGAGAAGCTATTGAAGATGATGATGATGATGTGAGTACTCTGAACCCTGACATGAAATCATTTGATAGGTGCAAAATTAGAGGTGTAATTGAAAAAAGGAAATTAATTTAAAAAAGAATAATTCAGTAGTCTAACTACTGATACCCTATAAATAACATTTTTAAAACGTTACAAAGAGGTTCTCTTAGAATCTTTAGGTTTATTTTATATTTAGCAGCTGCTAGGGAGACTTCTGAATTAGTAAAACTTTATTGCTAAGTGTAGGCAAAACTATACTACCCTGAAATCTTTGGCTGTCTTTATTGCTAAATGGCAAATACTCTAGTGGGCTTTAGCTCCTTTTTTGTGCACTGTGTTTCACTTATAAATACTGGCAAATAATATTTACAGTAGTAGTTGTCTTGCTCTTTAATTTTTAAAAAATATATCAGATTAAGGTTATGTCTTTGAAAGATTCTTCTAGCTGTTTTCCTTTATACCATTCACATTAGGGGAAGTATCTTTCCTCTTTACTACTAGTGGATACAAAGATAGATGTAACTAATGCGATTCTCAAATATTTGTTAGCTTCATTCACATTTCACCCTTTTCTTCCCTTTTTAGTATGATGAAGAAGGTGAAGAAGCGGATGAGGTAATGTTTACCAAATGAGCAAATAATTCTCTGTTTAAAAAATCGAGACTTGTGTATTCCTTTACTATAATCATTCTGTGATATGGGATAAAAATGTTTTTGGAAAAAAAATATGGTTTTAGAGTTCAACAGCCAAACAATGTATGTATAAGGTTTCAATAAATAAATTGCTACACTCAGAACATTTTTTTTTATTTCAAATAATTCTGTTCTGCTGCAGGGTTATCAGCTCTTTGAAGAAGTCAAAAGCTGCAGTAAACTTTTTCAACGTTGGCTGCAGTAAATCTTTTCAATAAAAGCTGTCTGGATGTCTCAAGTTGTGTTGGGAAATTTTTCCTATTAGAAGCTTTCAAATTAAATTGCATTGTCACCAAACTGTAATCATGAAAATCTGTTGACATATAGAGTAACTTGTATTAAATTCTCCCTACGTTATGAGCCATTTCTTACTACTATGTACCTACTTCATGGATGCATTTTGAACTTTAATATAGGAGGGGGAAGAGGAAGGAGATGAGGAAAATGATCCAGACTATGACTCAAAGGTGAGCAAAATTAGTGCTGCTTTCTATTAAATTCAAGGCTGGTTAAGTAAGAATTGGATGTTTTTTAGTATAAAATTAAATTTTTGTTCATTAAAGTGTTTAATAAAAACCCATTGACTGGATACATTTTTCATTTCCATGGGCATTCATTTCAACAAAACAATTTTAATTCATTGCTCCTAAGAATTTTTTTGTTTCTGACCTTTTCAGGTTATCCTGGGATTCTATTTTAATAGCACATTGTCTTGGGCATTTCCCCCCTTTTCACAATTCTTTTTAAATTACTTAACTGCTTGTGTTCTTAGGTTCTCCCTCTAAAGAAAAACTTTAAGCGAAGTCAGCTTTTGAATCATTTGAATTCAGGAGTGCTCAAGAATAAGGGAGTGCTCAAGAATAAGGGAAACACCACTATTAAATTTCCCCAACCACTGCTACTCTCCATCTCTTGAGAGTCCCAGGCTCTTACTCATGTGAAGTTGTCATATCAGGACTAGTGAAGGCCTTATGTACCACAAAATAATGTACATTATTAGAATTTGATACCTCTGCATTCTTTTTAATACATAAACTAATTTGCTAGATACTGTAAAATATATCCAGGAGATGATTTCATCTACTAAGCAGGTAAGAGAGGGTAGTTAAAAATCAAAGTAAATTTACAGGTAAGAATTTCTTTTCCTTAACAAGAAAATGAGTGGAATTAGTGTTCTTCATTAATACTCTTTTTAAAAAGTAAAAATAATTGGTAATGAATTGTCTGATCATTTCTTTGTACTGGCTTAGTGTGTTATTTTCATAAAGTCCATCCCACAATGTAAAGTTTGGGCTTTATTTTAAATTAGCTAATATTTGAATGAATTTTTATCCTTGCTATACCATTTTTAGGGCCAAAATTTTGACAGAGCAGTGAGATCATGTGATAATTAAGATAGTTACTATTGAAAAATTAACTGAAGCAGGTAGAGAAAGATAGATTGACTTGTTGTTTTCCTTTAACAGAAGGATCAAAACCCAGCAGAATGCAAGCAGCAGTGAAGCAGGATGTGTGTGACCTTGAGGATAACCTGCACTGTAATAGCCTAAACACAACTATTATTTACTTACAGCCTTATGTTTTTGTATTGATAGACTCAGTAAAAAAAAATTTTTTTTTTTTTAAAGAAAGGAAACGGACATTTTAAAGACCAATTTGTTCTACTTAGCATTTTAACTATAGTTTTCCTGCCAGATATGTTGAAGGCACAAAATCTTGTCACGCATGTTCATTCATTGCTACATAGTTTGGTTCTTCTGGAGTATTTCTATCCTGTAACTATTAGATTGCAGTTATGAAAACACAGAACTGTTAAATGAAACACATTTTTTGCTTTACTAATTTTTTTTTTCCTGAAGAACCAAAGTCTCTTTTTCAGCTGGTAGTTGAATGGATTAAATTTGCCTGCATTAGCTGTGCCTTTCATTATTTGTTTTAGAAATCTGTGGCTTATATTACGACTATTCATCATAAGGGGAAAAAGTTGCCAAGAGAAGTATATGGTTAAGAATTTCCAGTAAGACCATACCCAGTAACTTAGATAGTTATTAGGTTTTTTTTGTGTTGATAGGTAGCATGTTTAACAGAAATAAACCTGGTTTACTGTTTGGTAATTAGTTAACCACAGGGAGGTGAATAAAGCCTAGTATTTTCAAAAGTTAGGATACTTCTAAATTTAACCTCCATTAACTAAGCATCTTTTCTTTGTGGTAGGGTCTACCTTCAGCTTCCCTGGAAAGGATGAATTTTCAGCTTTTGACAAGTCCATTTCAAGTTTTTGTTGTTTGTGTGTTTGCTTGTTTGTTTTTGCAGCCTAAAATAAAAATGTCAAATATAATTTTAGTTCTCATCAGATAATGTCTTAATTTTGTACTAATTCAGGTAGAAACAGCCTTGCTTAAATTAACTTTGTACCCAGTTTACCATATTACTGAAGAAAAGGGTGCCATAAAGAGGTTCTATACCCAAAGAAAATGTCAAAAAAAAAAAACAAAACCTTAAATGATATGTGTTTTCATAAGAGAAAGGTTAAAGTTAAATTTCTTTTGGTTAGAACCAGGGAGAAGGCACCAGTCTCTATGGTTAAATCCAATTCTCATTGCTTAAAAGTATGAGTATGTAATTGACCCATGCTTCTATTTACTATGTATTAAGATGGGTAGTACTGTTTACTTAAACTACCTCACAGATGTGTTAAGGCATATTAAGTTAAATTTTTCATTAAAAGCTCAAAAAAATGACCTATTTGTGCCACAAGTTTGATAATTCAGAATTTTATTCATACTAGGATTTCATAAATTAAATTGGAAAAACAAAGGTAAACTGTTCTAGATCTGGTTAGGCAACACCTGGAAGATTTTTGTGTGGCTCCTACTTTAATAGAAGTAGGTAAATGAGCAACTATTTCAGAAGGTCCAGTGATTGTTTTCATGTATTATAGTTAACAACCATATTGTAGTAAATAATGTAAAGATCATGGGACTAAAGACAATTTTTAAGAAAAAAAATTTGCCATTTAAATTTGAGACTATAGAGTTACACTTAAAATACCTCAGGCTAATTACTGTTAATTTTTTGTGGTGAACTTAAAATTTTGACAATGAGGATAGAGTAATTAGATTGTAATTACAGGGCAACCCAGAGTTCTTAATAAACTAATAAAATTACATTGAGTTCTTTTTTTTAGAGGTAAGAGCTTCCTTTCTGAAAACCTAGTCTTGTAATGTGAATGCTTTTTTTTTTTTTTTTTTTTTTATTGTATAGTACTGTTCCATTCCTCTCCTGAGATTTTTAACTACTGGAAATCCTTAACCAAGCAATAGTTTGTAGGGGGGAAATGCCATTAAAACACCTTATGTTTTTCCTTTTTGTTTTCCAAAATGACTTTGTTGTTTTTAGTTAGACATCTTACGCTAATTTTTCATTTTGGTACCCATAGTTCATCTGAACACAGCTTTTCCTGAACTTAAAAATTTTTAATCTAAAGATAGAATCCCATTTTTAATGAGAAGTAGCAAAACCACGACTTTCCCCCATTTCTTTAGGAAATAGCTATTGCCAAAGTGAAGGGGTAGAAACTGTTTTGTTTTGTGATATATGTGGGGGATTTGGTTTGCAGAGGAGTTGTTTCTTAATAAAGTTGACGTTCCAAGGGATCAGTGTTCATCTATGCCATTTCTCCAGTTCCAAAATGGTTCTATTCCATTTTAGAAATTCGAAATCTGTACCCTGAAATCCTTAATAAAATTTGCATTTAATTTTATAAAATGTACTGGTGATATTTTGGGTTTTTCTTTTTCTTTTTTTTTTTTAATGAGTACTTTTGTACCTTTGGGGGTCTGGAGGACAGATATTTAGAAGTAGGCCATTCTGTGCTTGAACCATTATAGAATGTAAATTTGTATGATTTTAGGAATGACCTCAAACTGGAATGAGAAGGAATTCTAGTCTCTGCAGATTGTTTTCTCAGTTAACTTATAGACGTTATTGATACTTCAGATTTTGTCTTAACAGTCTTAGATTATAGATTATTCCAGCCTAAGAACTGACTTTTAGTTCTGTTTTTACTCTAGAAATAGTTCTGTTTTTACTCTAGAAATGGTAAAATTCCATAAAAACACCTACAAATGAATACTTTGATCAAGCAAAATTACAATTGTCGTTTTATGGTCACTTAAGTATGGCAAACAATAGCTATATAAATTAGTTTAATATGGATGCTTAAAAGTTTAATACCTGAATTCTTTTTAGTTAGTATTTCTATGACAATATATTCTAATGTGTGGAATTAACTACAGAGTGGCATTTAAAAAAATGGGATTCTACCTCTTTCCTTTTTAGATCATTTAGTAACCAATAAATCTGGAAATAGTAGCTTCAAAAGGAATATTTTTATTCTGTAAATTGGTTAATGATACTACTGATTGGTGTATGATAAGGCCTCTTAAGATAAACACTTGTTATGTTCACTGCTGTTTGTAATACAATAGTATATAAGTTTGAGTTTTGTAGGCCCGTTTCCATTTTAAAAATGGTACTTTGCATTAGTGTTTGTGAAAACTTTATAGCACCATGCAAATATACTAGTCTACTTACTATTTCAAATACTCTTTGAAAGCTTGGCTTAGAATGAGTTTTTTTTTTTTTTTTTTTTTATGGGTTAGTCTTAAATAAAAAACTTAGGCCTTTATATTTTTGACTTTAACCCAAGTAAAATGTATTTCAAATGTGTAGAGTAAGTTTTGAAGCTTACAGATGTTCTATCTTCATAGATCTTTAGGAAAGAGAAATCATGCTAATTCAGTTTTTTTCTTTTGATCTCCACTGTATATATAGTTGGTAATTGTGAACTGGATTTTATTTTGAAAATGTGTTCATAATTTAGATTATTTGCTACTTAAAGCACTAAATCTAATAGTTGAAAAGTATATGTAAATGATGGTAGAATTAACTGAGATTAACTTATAGATGTATGGTTTTTGTATACTGGTTTAAAAATTCAGATATTAAACTATAACCTGGTTAAAAGCCAAGTTCTTGGACTGATTAAGGCTCATCTATGTGACCTAAGAGGAAATGTCTTACTGGAATGTGAAATTATTTTAAGTATTAAGTACTTAAAAGAAAGTTTAATTGATTTGTACAGTTACTATTTTTTAAAAGTTACAGTGTACTTTGTATCCTGTTTGATGTAACTTGAATTTTTCATATAAAAATTGATACTGACCATTCTTAAATATAAAATGAGGAGAAGAGCCTAAAAATTTGGAAATAATAAATTGCCACCCAGAAATAAGTTACCCAGATGCTGAGTTTTCATGTTGGCATTGAGATTGGCTTTTGTAGATGGTTTGTTTTGAGTTTATTTAAAACTCAGTTTTTCTTTAAGTAAAGACATTACTTTTGAGTTCTTCGTGTATCTTAGCTTTAAAACAGGAAGAAGGAACTCTTGTGGATTTAGAGATCAAAAATACAGGTGCCAGCAGTTGGCCATCTATCAAGAGTAAAGTGATAATTAGTATCATAATTTTTTATCATTCATGGTGAAGTTAGGCAGTTGTGACTAAAACTTACATATGGTAGAGGAGATTCTGCCCATTATAATATGCCAAATATGTTTGAAAGGTCTTAGTTGGGATTTCAAGGCTGGGTAGGAATTGTGACGTGAAGGATGGTGCTTCTCTGAGTAGAAAACCATTCAGGCGAAGGCGCTGAATGGAGTAGGTCAATTTGGCACATTCAGAGTGACCAGAGACTGACTTGTGTTTGAAAACAAGTAAACCACCTCTTTTCAGGATAATTTCAAGTGAGGGTCTACCTTTCAATGAAGATAATTTTCAAACTAAAACAAAGCCATTTGAAAATAAGACCAGTTGGGTTAGCAGTCTCAAGTCTTGTTAGAAATTAGGTAAAATGTTTTAGCTTTATCAAAAGGGGTGAACTTTTTTTTTTTTAAAAGAGATTTATTTAGTTCTTCACACAGAACTGGGGTACAGGCCAGAGATGTGGAGGGTGATAGGACTCACCAGAGACAGCGGACAGCAGAACAGGCAGATCGACGAAGTACACTGCTGAGAGGAGCAGCAGGCCGGTCAGGAGAGGTCTGCCACACCTTGTGGTCACCTCCGGGGCAGGCAGGAATTGAACATATGCGGAAGTGGCTTTAGCTTCTTAGTGCTGTGCTTTAACCGGCTGTGCCACCAGGGAGGGCCTAAAGGGGTGAACTTTTAAAACAATGTTCAAAGTTAATCTATAATGAATCCTTTGGAAATTTTTTTTGGTGATCCTTTATCCATATTGCCACCTTTTCTCTGGGTTATAACAGTTTAAAGAATTCTACATTGCATACTCAAATCACCATTTATATTATGCTAATAGCTCTATATTTTCATGTATATACACTTCTAATTGCCTACCCACCACCATCACTGTTTTTCTCAGTGCGAAAACTAATTACAGATCATGATAGTTAATCTAAGTCAGGATTTTTTTAAATCACGGATTTCTTTATGCATATAAGAGTTTGGGTATTAGGCCAGAGGGGTGTGGAAGTATGTGAGGATACAGTGGGGAACTACTGTATTGAGTAGAACAGGCAGATCTACTGAAACCCATTGCCAAGAGACAGGAGAGGCCTTTCTCACTGTAAATCAGCTCCCTCGCTGTCTCTCACTCCCTGCCACTTGTGCCTTCTGTGTATATCATAGTATTTTAACATAGAATTCTTTTCTGTTAAATGAATATCCCTTTTGTGACTACTTTTCACTTCTAAACTGGGTTTACCAATTTGAATATTTTAATGATCCTTGCTCACTGGCTTAAGTTTGAATACTAGGTCTGGAAGATGAAGTATGCATAGCTCAATCAGTCTTTATCAGAACACTACCAGTGTATCACCCATACATAGTACTGTATAAAGGAACATGTGGAAAGTTAAAATGAGTTTTAGGTGAAGCTATGTCAAGGTCCCTTGTAGTTGTTAGATCCTATGTCCTATGCCTGGATTGTGTACTGTGTTAGTTCAATGGGAGTACCTGTCTATAAAGAGGATCAATAGTTTTCTTGTACAGTATGACAAAACTAGCAATGCCTTAAAAATCCAAGATTCTGTTGGCTTATATAGGATAGTTATTTCTGCTCTACTGAACATCAGCTTTTGAAGGTCAGTGAAAGGAATCACTTGAGTGCTCTTATGCACAGATGTTTGGTTCTGGATGAGACCTCAGCTGGATTGTGGATAGAATTCTTTGACATGCCTAGCTGCAATGGTAGCTGAGTTCTAAGAGCTTGTCAGGCAGTTGTATCCTTTTTATGATCTACCCTGAGAAATTATCTGCTGTATTTACTGGGTTAAAAAGCCCCAGTTTAATGGAGGTGGACTACATCCCAGTTTTAGAAGAGTGTGCTGAAGTAGAATATTGTGGCTAGAAGTTACCTTTTTCTTTTTTTTTTTTTTTAAATACAGTTAGCTACAATGGTCTTCCAAAATGACCAGAAAT